TAATCCTCCCTGCTGCTAGCATTTGAGGGGTTTGTCATCACGCTTGCTTCCCAGCCTTTCCATCCTTTCTTTCTTCTTTTCATTTCTTTTTCTTCCTTCTTCCCTTCCTTTCCTCTTTTTTTTTCTTTCTTGATACTGTCTCTCCCAGTTGCGCTAGGTGGGCTCAAATTTGTGATCCTCTTGCCTCAGACTCCCATTGTGCTAGGGTTACAGACCTATGCCAACATGCCTGGCTGTATTTATTTAAAACATCAATTACACATATACACAAAATCGTGAATGCAGTTTTTCTCAATACTTAGGGCTCCACTAACACCTAAATCCCTCGCCCCTGGATTTTTACTGCCTCCTGCAAAACTAGCTTCACCATCTCCTTATTCTTTCTGGCACCCACTGTTGACACAGAAGTCACTATCTCAGAATAGCACGAGTCTTCTTTGCAATTCTGGAAATTCATCTCTTTTTGCCTCCCTGAACTTGTCAAACATTTAACGATTTCTTCCCTTCAGCCTTCCCAGTCACCTGGTGGTTTCCTTCTCCCCACCTCTTCAAGCCTCTCTGACCAGCTTTGGGTCTCACAACCTCAGTTCCTACAAGTGTTCTGCACTGAAGAATACTAAACCCATCTCATCCCCAAACAAAGCCCGAAACTGCGCGCCAGAAGGTCTCTGCCTTCACATTTCTAGGTACACTAGCACCCCTAGAAATCTCCGAGACATGGCCCAGCAAAAGCTTATCTTTGAGAGAAAGAATATCACTTTTAAAAAGTGCAGCACCCGATTTCCTCCACTCCGAACTACATCTCCCAGAAGGCTTAGCGGTGCGCATTACCTTTCTATGCAAATATGACCTCTTTCAGAGGCTGTCCAGCTCCTGTGGGTAGCAGAGAGGGTTCCGAAAGTAAACGCATCTGCAACGCGCAGATGTGGCCTTCTTTGGCAGCCACGAGTGGAAATTGAGCTTGGGGTCTGTGGAGCTTTCAGGCTGTGTTTCAGTGTGGGTTGAAATCATGTCCACCTGGCCGCAACTAACCGCAAATAAGAATCCTGTTGATCGGGAGCCATCTTGTTCTCCTCAGTATGTCCCTGACTACATTTCCCAGAAGACTCCTCGGCCTCTCGCGGGAATTCAGCGTTAGAGTCACGCGGTGGCGGGACCCTTAGGGTTGCACCCGCAGCTACTCTAATGTTCTTCAGGGTTGTGCTGCTTTAGAGAACCTTGGAAGGCCTAGGTGAGTAACCTGAGGGTAGGGCGGGGCTGGAGCCAAGCCTTGGCTTTGTGTAAAGGAGGAGTCAAGATTATAATAGCGTGTAGTTGGGGGTGTAGTTGGGGCGGTGTGCTGGTTTGCAATGAATGATCGTGTGCTTTTAATAGGCTTTTTTGTATGATTGGTATTTGCTTTTAATCGTAATACCGGTGCAGATACCGTGTGTGTGTGAGAGAGATTAGGACCACGTGCGGCATTGTGTGCGTCTGTAGGGGAGCTGGTGAGCGGGTGTTACTAGTAGTTTGTCCTCATAGTTGTGCATAATTGACGTGACTGTGTGCAAAAGTACGGGTGGTAATACTTGTGAATATTGTGTGGTGTATCTGTGAATACGTGGCTTGTGATCATGACCTTGACCGGGTGCAGGTGTGCCATACCAGTGACAATGCCTTTGTGACTGAGTGACCTATTGTTAAATGTGCGGTTGTGGTTAGGTGATCTTTTGAGGTCCTAGGTGTGTGGCCCTGTTGATTTGGATGTGGGTTTCTGTAGCTAAATGTCCCCATTGTAGGTGTGTGTGAAGTTTTATCACGTATGTATACCTCTTCAAGCATGATATGGTACTGTAGTTTTTCCCCCTTCTAGAACTTAACTGGAGAGTTCTCTTGCTGTCCTTTGCCTTTTATTGTGTTTATATCTACAACTATGCTTGTGAAATTCATTTGTTAGGTATAAGAGCGGTTCATTTAAGTTCTTTGCTATGTTGTATTCTGTATTTTTAGTATATTGCACTTATTCATCCCCTCTTGTAATGATGGGGATTTGAATTATTTATGGTTTTTTTAAATTTTATTTGCTATGTTGTATTCTACATTTTTAGTATACTGCATTTATTTATCCCCTCTAGTAATAATGGAAATTTGAATTATTTATAGTTTTAAAAAATTTTATAAACAATGCTGCCTCGAACTTTCTTTTACATAGGGTACACATGCTTGAGTTTATCTACCAGTGGAATTGTCAGATTATATGATACTTTCCACTGTACTAAATAGGGCAAAATATATACCAAAGTGGATGAATGAATTTACACTTGCATGACAATGTTTGAAAATCTTGTTGCTGGATATATCTTCCAAAGCATTGTTAAGACTGTATAACATATACAAGTCAGTAATACCATGCACAAATCTTAAGTATGCAAGTTTGTAACAATCTCTTAAGGAGACTTTTTTTTTTTTTTTTTTTTTCTGGTCCTGGGAATTGAACTCAGGGACTCATGCTTGCCAGGCAGGCGTTGTGCCTCCGAGCTACATCCCCCTGTCTCTTAAAGGACTTAGCAAGGATCCCAAATAGTTCCCTTATGTGCCCCCTCTTTAGCTTGATCCATTTTTGAACTTCATGTACACATGTATATGGAATAATATAGCATGTACTCTTCTATCTATTTAATAGATACACTCATTTTTCATGTGGTTGCTCCAGGATACACTACAGCCACAATGTGTGAGAGTTCCAGTTTCTCCACATTCTACCCATTATTTCGACTTTTTTGGCGGGGGCGGGGGTGTTTTTCGGTACCGGGAATCGAACTCACGACCTTGTGCTTGCCAGGCAGGTACTGTGCAGCTGAGCAAACTCCCCAGCCCCTCTATCCATTATTTCATACTGTAATCTCTTAACTATTTTGTTGGTTGTTCAGTGGGTTTTTATAGTTTTAATTTGGGTTTCTTGATGTATGATGTTATTCAGCACTTTTTAATGTGTTTATTGGCCATTTGGATATCCTTTTTTGACAAGTCCACTCCGGTATTTTTGCCATTTTCTCCTTTTTAATCTTTTTCGGTTTTAAAAATTTTATTTTCATATGGTGAACATAGTATAAAGGTTCACAATTGTTCAGGTGCTGGAGAACAATTGTGAAAAACAGGAAATTTACACTGATAAAAACTTAACTAATTTACAGACTTTATTGAAATTTTGCTAATTGTACTTTTCTGAGCCAGGAGCTAATCTGTGGTCCCATTTCAGTTTATTTGTCTTGTTCCATTGGTTCTCCCCCATCTGATACATTTTTTTAGTATTCGTCTTTCATCACCTTAATTCTTGTGAATAACATTGATGAATTATTTTGTTGAATGTCTTTCAATCTGGACTTGTCTCCTGTTTCCTTATGGTTAAATTTAGACTATGCATTTCGGCAAGATCATAGAAATTGTATAGTCTTCTTACTGTGTAGTGTCAGAGATATGATATTTTATCTCATTTTTGGTGATGTTAACCTTTATCAGTTAGTAAAGTTGGGTTTTGCCAGATTTCTACTATAAAAGAGTTACTGTTTTTCCCTTTTTATTTGCTATCTTCTGAGGAGATTGAGGATGTACAAAAATCCTGTTTGACTGATGATGATTTCTCTTTCTGTCATTCTACATTTATTAATATAAATTTAGTGTAAGGAAGAGCTGATTCATCTTCCCCATATGTATATTTAACATTTGTAGACTTACGGGTATTTATTTTATTACATGAAGTTTAATCCATTATTATCATTATTCATTTTGTTGCCCAGATTCGGTTGTTAAGTTGGTCCTGTGTCCTCTCGGTATGCCTTCTGCTGCTGCTATTGTTGTTGTTGTTTAGCATTTTCTTAATTTTTTGGCACTGGGAGATACTCCAAGGTCATCTTGTATTTTACCTCCTCCAGCTCTGGAATCAGCAGTTTCTTCAAGGAGCTCCAATTTCTTGTATTGGAAAGTGAATTTATAAACTAAGATGTGAGAACTTTGTGTGCTCATTGCTATTAGGTTGCCACTACCCAAGTTCTGGTTAGTGGAGAGAGCTAAAAATACGTAAATATTTCTCTTATCTACCTATCTGTTTATATATTTTTAAATCACCAGTTTATACTCATACCTTCCATTCCAACTCCAAATCACAAGTTTTTGTAAAGAACTATCAAGTATCTGAAATTTTCTCCTACTTATAAGCTAATAAAGTAGCTCGATATACCTTCCCTGATAGAAGCTATTAGACTTCTGGGTCAGTAATATTATTTTGTTTTATTTTATGGATTTCAATTAGGTTAAACCAAGACCTATTAACACCCTAAATCTTCTCAAACTAGGCAAGATGATTATTTCTTTTGTCAGGATTTGGGACCAGATTGTACAACCTAAGGTTTACTGAAAAATTGGTTTGCTCAAGATAAATCCAAATTTAAAATGTGTAAAATCTTTGAGATATTATGCTTTTAGGGATTAATCAGAATTCATATACAGTACAGGTAAAATGATACATGTACTGGGATATTTATTGCAACTTTGTTACAGTGAAAGATAGAAAACAACTCAAAGGATCACTGGCTATAGATTGGCTCAGTAAATTAAGGTATATCCATTTCATGGAACACAATGTAGTTATTAAGACAATTATCTATTATCACAGTATATATTAATTCAGATTTATTCCAAGATACATTAAATAAAAATAGTTATGTATATGGTAGTGTATATAATATGCTATAATTATGATTATGATCAAAACTATGATGTTTATATATTTGTATATGTGTATATTTGTACACAAACATTAATTCTCGTAGCCATGTCCATCTTACCCAAATCCGGGCAGTTCCAGACCAAAGCCTGACTATAGAATTGAAGATGATGAGAGATTTGCCCATTCTTCTCACTGAGGCCCCTAAGTGTTTATGTGGGTTGTATACAAGGGAAGTGATCATTCCGGGTGCTATGAGGCAAGAGGAGTCTGATATATCTTATTTTACCTGTCTCAGGTCTGTCCTTTGCCAAAAGAGGAACCCAGAAGAGGTCTTTTTCTACAAATATCAAAGCCATGGCTCAGGTGAGATACTGTTTCTTTTCCCTGAAATAGAATCCTTTTTACCTCTAGTACATATACATACTTACTTTTTCTCATTATGAGACTTTTGCTTTTTAAAAAAAAAACAAAAGACTTTAGGCTGGGCATGGTGGTGCAGATCTGTAGTGCCAATACTCTGGGAGGCTAAGGCAGAAGGATTTCAAATTTGAGTCTGACCTGGACAACTTAACTTAGTGAGACCCTGACTCAAAAAAGTGGGGTGGGGTTGCTGAGGATAAAGCTCAGTATGAAGGCCCTGTGTTCAATTCCCAGTACCAAAACAAACAGAAAAACCCAACTAAGCTCTTTAAATTTAGTTGAAAGCAATGCAAAAGTACTCTTACCCCTCCTGTAAGGAAAGAATCTCTAATAAGCCAACTCAAAAATTTCTCTGTTGGTGGAAATACTTTGTAAAAGAAACTGTTAGATAATCATCGGTCAACCAAGTACAGCTTTCTCTAAAGAAATTTTAATCAGAATTTTAAAGTGCAATTTAAAAAGTCATCAGAAAATTGCTGATCAGTTTTAAAGAATACTTTTTAAAAATTGTGAATCACTTAATATAAAAATGATCTAACCCAGAGCTGGGAATGGTGGCATGTGTCTGTAGTCCCAGCAACCTGGGAGGCTAATAAGTCAAGGGGGATCTCTTGAGCCTAGGAGTTTGAGACTGGCCTTGGCAACACAGTGAGATCCCATTTCTTTAGAATAAAATAAAAATTTTAAAAAGTCTGATCTAGACAGGGTTTGGAACTTTTTTTTAACACTAGTTACCAGTATCGCCTTTCAGGAACATGAGCTCCATCTCAACAACTCAGAGTCCATTGCAATTTCCCCTTCTTTTAATTGAAGTTGACATGTTCATGTACCACGTCCTTGAGTATCTCATATGTCACACTTCTGCCAGAAATCCTGATAAATCAAAAGTATGTTTCCCACACTGTAAATGGATCTCATTTGTTTGGACAGCAATTTGGTGGGATGGAAATGATTAGGGTAACTCATAGGGAAAAGCTCAAAACTTCAGAAAACTGAGTTTTTCAATAAAAAATATGTGTGATGGTTTTATTCAATTTCAGTATATGGCAAGATCTCCTGGTTTATGAAGCTCTTCTTAAAAATATATTTATTTATTTTAGTTAGTTTTTTGAGTCAGGGTCTTGCTATGTAGTATAGGCTGGTCTTGAATTCACTGTGTAGCCGAGGCAGGTGTTGAACTCACAGTGATCCTCCTGCCTCAGTCTCCTGAGTGCAGGGATTACAGGCATGAGCCACCTTGGGTGGTTTATGAAGCCTTTTAGTTTAGAGAGTATGACTACTGGTTGCTTACCACTCTGATACCCCAGGAGGCATTCATGAAAAACTGATATCAGGAATGCCATTGTATTAGTCTGGATCATCCTTACCAGGTTCGTATAGTTCAGGAACAAGAGGAATTTACTGCTGAGGCATGCATGGTTGTAAATAACACTGGGCTAATGTTAGGGAATCCTTTAAATCATCTCTAGCCTACATGTTTAAAAGCAAAGGTAAAGTTGTCATTTATATTTTTATAATAGAATATTATGGGATGAGAAATAAAAATGCTTATAAAAAGCATTTGTGGTAACCAGGATTCTCATTACATACTAGTGGCATGAGAATGAATCAGTCATGTGCAAATTTAATTTTCTAAGATAAATTTTTGTTCAGTACTGGTGATTTAACCAGAAGCCCTCACCCTAAGTTGCATCCTCAGCCCTTTTTAGAATTTTTAATTTTGAAACAGGGTCTTGCTAAGTTGCCCACACTGGGCTCACACTTGTGATCCTCTTGCCTCAGCTTCCCAGGGTGCTGGGATTATAGGTGTGTGCCATTATGCCTGGCTGATAAAATATTTTAAAAGCCATTTGAACTTGTTTCAAGTGAGATAAAACTATTCCAGTCTTGACTCATTACCAGTTCCACTCCTAGAAGGGCACTGCCATCATATCTTTTTTCTTTTTTTCTCAGTATAAGGCCTTCACACTGAGCTATATCTCCATCCCTTTTTATTTGTATTTTGAGGCAGGGTCTCACTAAGTTGGTAAGTCATCCAGGCTAGGCTCAAACTTGGGATCCTCCTGCCTCAGCTTCTCAGGGGACTGAGATTAGAGGTGTGTACCACCATGCCTGACTCTGCCATTAGATTGTGGAGAAGCTTTAGCTGCTGTTTTTGATGAATCTGGAACTCATATCTCCTGATTTCCTATGAAGGAAATTAAATTCTCATGCTTTCCATCTTTCCCAACTCTATTAGGAATTATACCACTGTTTTTGATTAAATCAATAGTGTCACTTTTTTTTGTTGTTGTTGTTCTAGAGATTGAACTCAGAACCTTCTTAACTAAGCTACATCCCCCATCTTTTTTAATTTTCGAGACAAGGTCTCACTATGTTGCCCAACCTGGACTTATGATACTTGTGGTACCCTTAATCAGCCTGCCAGAGTCCTGGAACTACATGCCTGTGCCACTATACCTAGCTAATAGTATCACATTGTTATGATTGAAATATTTTCTCCCAAGTTAGTTCATGGTTTTCTTTCTTTTTTCTTTTCCTTTTCCTTTTTCTTTTCTTT